TATATTACATCACTTTGACAAATAATGTGAGAGACAGAAAAATACAAATTTACACTCATAAACACACTTTCATTGAAGCGACAACATTTCTTTAAGACTTATTACGGGTCATAAAAGTCAGTTTTACGGTGTCATATGTTTCAGCTTGTTGTCATGCCGTGACCATAATGACGTCTGGAGAACACGTGATTTTCGAGATTACATGAGGTTTTTTCGCTTTTAAATTTTATAGGAAGAGAGAGGAAATAAAATAGATCAAGTGAAAAAGCATTAAGTTCGGCCGGGCCGAACTTTGGATACCTTCCACCATAGATATACTGACAGGTACTAGAAATGAAATAAAAGGGGACCTATACCGACATTTCTAAAAACAGAAATTGTTAATGGATAATTATACCCTCAGTCTTATGGCTAATGAGGGTGTATATACTTTAACACGATAAAAATGTGTCTCACCGAAATATTGGTTCTAGACCCCATGTTTCTTTGGACTAAATCCATTTCAGAAAATTTAGGTTTCATCCAAACTTTGCCCATCTTATTATTTCTTCCATACGTAGTTCAAATTCGAAGATGGGGAATATCGGTCCACTCCTTCTCTGGAACCTCCACACAGTGTCTAGGTCTAAATGCGGCTATAGTTCATTATCGAACCTTATGTTCTTATTTTTTATCTCGCTATCCTCCGCAGGTGAAATGATTACAAGAGAATCTTAGAACCAAACTCAAAAAGCGGAACAAATCAGATAAATATTTTAATATAAACCAGTAAGGAAAGTAATAAAGTCGGACTGGGCCGACTATATGATACCCTTCCCACCTATGACAACTTATGATAAATTTAATTTCATTCGGGCAGATTTAGAGCCGTCTGCGTACCATGGGACAAATTAATGGAAAACGATTTATAGCACAATTGATACACGCTATTCGGTACGCCGCCCTGTTAAAAACGTAATTTCAATCAGACACCCGTTTCAAATACATATGGAAGTTATGGATGCATCTGTACCAATTTCAAACGGAATAACGTCATTCAAATCTCAATTTGATACGTTGTGCAAAATTTCGTATTAATGGGACAAACATTAGGAGTTTAGTACACCATTTATGTAAAATCGGACGAATATCTGTGTATATGTGGGAGCTATATTGAAATCTGAATCGATTTTTCCGAATCTTACAACACACTATTCTAGACTTAATTCAGTACGTTGTGCCAAATTTCGTGCAAATCGAAGGATATATAGGGACTTTGGTGCGCCATTTACATAAAATCGGACGAAAATATATATGGGAGTTATATCGAAATCTGAACCGATTTTCACGAAACATAACATACATTAGTCTAGAATCCATTCAGTACGTTATACTAAATTTCGTGCACCATTTACATAAAATCGTACGAAATTATAAATGGGAGCTTAATCTAAATCTGAACCGATTTTCAAGAAATTTAAGATACGACTTTCTAGACTTAATTCATTACCCTGTGCCAAATTTCGTGCATATCAAAAGATACATAGGAACTTTGTTGCCCCATTTACATAAAATCGGACGAAAATATATATGAGAGCTATATCTAAATCGGAACCGATATCCACGAAATTTAAGACACGTCTTTCTAGACTTAATTCATTACCCTATGCCAAATTTCGTGCAAATCGAAAGATATATATGGTCTGTGGTGCACCATTTAACTTAAATCGGACGAAAATATATATGGGAGCTGTATCTAAATCTGAACCGATTTTCACGAAACTTCGCACACATCATTCTAGGCTTAATTAAGTACGAGGTGCCAATTTTCGTGCAAATCGAAAAATATATAGGGACTTTGGTGCACCAATTACCTTAAATCGGACGAAAATATATATGGGAGCTATATCTAAATCTGAACCGATTTTCACGAAACTCAGTACACATCATTCAGGACCTATTTCAGAACTCTTTGCCAAATTTCATGAAAATCGAATGATATATAGGGACTTTGGTGCACCATTTACATTAAATCGGACGAAAATAGGTATGGGAGCTATATATAAATCTGAACCGATTTTTATGAAATTTAAGACACGTCTTTCTAGACTTAATTCATTACCCTATGCCAAATTTCGTGCAAATCGAAAGATATATAGGGACTTTGGTGCACCATGTACATTAAATCGGACGAAAATATATATGGGAGCTATATCCAAATCTGAGCCGATTTTCACGAAACTTAGCACACACCATTCTAGGCTTAATTAAGTACGCTGTGCCAAATTTCGTGCAAATCGAAAAATATATAGGAACTTTGGTGTACCAGTTACTTTAATCGGACGAAAATATATATGGGAGCTATATCTAAATCGGAACCGATTTTCACGAAATTTAACACACATCATTCTAGGCTTAATTCAGTACGCTATGCACGTCTTTCTAGACTTAATTCATTGCCCTATGCCAAATTTCGTGCAAATCGAAAGATATATAGGGTCATTGGTGCCTCATTTACCATAAATCGGACGAAAATATATACCGATTTTTTTCGGACGAACGGACATGCATAAATCGACTCAGAATGTGATTCTATGCATATTCTCAAAAGGAACCATGTGTCTATCTCGTCTCCTTTTGCCTGTTACAAACATATGCACAGAGACATAATACCCTGTACACACAGTGTGGTGAAGGGTATAAAACGGGGGTTATACGGGGACTACCCCAAAAAAGGGGCGAATATTAATAATTTTTGGTAGGGAGATTTGTTACCATATACGACTACAAAATACCAAATTGCAGTAAAATCGGTTGAAAAACGCCCTCAAGAACCCCAAAATACAGAAAATTTGGGTTACCCTTCCTTATATGGGGGCTATCCGAAAAAATGGACCTATACTCATAATTTTTGTGGAGAGGTTTGGGGCCTATTAAGAACTCAAAATACTAAATTACAGCCAATTCGGCGGAAAAATACGATCAAGAATATATATACATTATAGGGTCGGAAATGATTATTTCGATGAGTTACAAACGAAGACTGGATTTTTAAATATTTTTTTCGATGATTGTTACGGAGTGAAAATCCATTTAGAATACTTTTTTATTATTTTTTATTAAATCTTTCTTGGTTCCAAAACACTTTTAAATCCCTATAATTGTCTTCCTTAACCACTTCGGTTATTTCTGCGGCGGCGGTTGATGCGACGACGTCTTACAGCACGATTTTTACGCTGACGACGATGTCTGCGGTTGCGGCGGATTTTGCGATTACGACGGATTTTACGATTACGACGAGCCTTGTTGCGACTGTTGCGACGGCGAGTACGGCGCATACGACGATGGCGACGAGCGCGTTCTCCCTCCTCATCATCGGCCAGGGCATTATCATCCTCATCAAGGGAGGCGGCTTCAATTTCATTCTCCTCAATTTCATCCAGAGCCAAGGCACGAGGAGTTGGTGATGGGGCTGTTGGTGCTGGGGCTGTACCTGTTGGGGCTGGTGCTGTACCTGTTGGTGCTGGTGCTGGCGCCGTAGCTGTGGGTGCTGGTGCCGAAGCTGTGGGTGCTGGTGCTGTTCCGGCAGGTGGTGAGGTTGGTGCTGGAGCTGTAGGGGCTGTGGCTGTAGCGGTGGCTGTGGCTGTTGCAGGAGGTGTAGCACCACCGCTTCCAGTAGGTGAAGTACCACTGCCAGTTGGAGCAGTTCCTGTACCAGTGGGTGAAGTTCCAGCACCAGTTGAAGTTGTAGTAGCCGTATTAGTTGGTGCTGTACCAGTACCAGTGCCAGTGCCTGTGGTGGTTGGAGTTGTTGGCGTGGTTGGTGCAGTGGGTCCTGTTGTCGTGGTCGTTGTTGTGGGAGCAACCGTGGGTGCGGTGGTACAAAATTGGGTCTTACCCATGGCACAGAGCTTGGCAGCAAAGCCGCCGCCACCATTGGCACCACCTTTGCCGCCAAAGAAAAAGCCATTGACCACGGCATTAGAACCCAAAAGGGCTATGCACAGCACTAGAAATGTTAATTTCATTTTTTTTTTTTTTTTGAACTCCCTGACTTTGCGAGGTTGATGCTTAGAAGAGGAGGAATCAAATGAATTTGATGTTGTTATCCAAATTTCCTGAGACTTATATAGTGAACCCAACGATGAATAGGGAAATGGTTGTAACTTGTAGTTGGGTTATGTACGTTTTGTTTGTTCCCAAAATGCAATTGTTCAAATAATAGAATTGGGTCAATAGAATAATGGTAGGGTAAACTGACAGCTGTTTTATGTTTGAACACATTCGATCTTGGGAAAAAATTTATTTAAATAAAACCAACCCCTTATATAGGCCTTGAAAAAAATTATTTGAAAAATCCAAGCCTTATATAAGGCCTCAAAAAAATTATTTAAAAAAAATCCACGCCTTATTTGAAAAATCCACGCCTTATACAGGCCTTATTTGAAAAATCCACGCCTTATATAGGCCTTGAAAAAAATTATTTGAAAAATCCACGCCTTATATAGGCCTTGAAAAAAATTATTTGAAAAATCGACGCTTTATATAGGACTTGAAAAAAAAAATATTTCAAAAATCCACGCCCTATATTGGCCTTGAAAAAAATTATTTGAAAAATCCACGCCTTATATAGGCCTTGAAAAAAATTATTTGAAAAATCCACGCCTTATATAGGCCTTGAAAAAAATTATTTGAAAAATCCACGGCATATATAAGCCTTGAAAAAAATTATTTGAAAAATCCACGCCTTATATAGGCCTTGAAAAAAATTATTTGAAAAATCCACGCCATATATAGGCCTGGAAAAAAAATTATTTGAAAAATCCACGCCTTATATAGGCCTCGAAAAAAAATTATTTGAAAAATCTACGCCTTATATAGGCCTTGAAAAAATTATTTGAAAAATCCACGTCTTATATAGGCCTTGAAAAAAATTATTTGAAAAATCCACGCCTTATATAGGCCTTGAAAAAAATTATTTGAAAAATCCAAACTTTGTTGTGGTTCATAAAAACTATTTATAAAAAGTCCACGCCTTGTTATGACCCTTGAAGAAATATTTATCAATAATCCAGGCCTTTTGAGGACCATAACAACATTAAATAATTTTTCTTTTTAATTACAAAAAAATAATTCACATATATTTTTTTACATCGGCAAACATTTTTTCTTTCGCCATGCAATTTATCCATACGGAATTTCCATTGCTCCAGAAAAGAATTCTGCCATATCCCCTTATGCAGAAAAGAAAGGAAGACGGAGGAGAAAAAACCCACACATATTTCCTTAATGTCCCTACCGAGATAAGAGAAGAAAGCGGGAAAAAACATCCGACCACTTGACAAACGGCTACTCAATAAATTGTGTTGCACAATGCAACAAATTTCACATTGTCCACCAATGAGGATGGCGATGCGGCAGCCGCGTCATTAATTAGGATAGCCCTGTGAGCCACACAAGGCACTGAGCAGGGCGTGAAGTGCCTTACACATGGCAACATAAAACATGTGCCACAGTCTGCTACGAGGAGCAAGGGGAAATTCCAAAAGTAGTTTTCCAAGTTGCAAATATGAACATGTGACCGTGTGCATGTTCGTGTGTGTGTCAGACGATCACTGACCAAAACTGAAAGTAACTGCATTGTTTACATCTTCAGCGCCGGCCAGGCAGTCGGAAATTCCTCCAATGATTCTTAAACATCAAAGATAAATTTCGAAATTAGTAAATGGCAGAGGCCTCTGTCTCCATACATACCACTTGACAATGGCGTATTGTTTATTTGAAATTTGTTTCTTTGCCTAGCCCTCATATCCATGTCCAAGTCCAAACAGAAAGCCCTTTCGTTGGGCATCTAACCATCGATCATTTCGAAAAAATGTGGCATGTCATTTGGTAAGGAAATGAATTTGTAAGTTGCGAATTAAAGACAACAGCAGATTGCTAAGGAATATTCTTAGCATGGGGGACTATAAGAGGATTTTTAAAATTCTTATTTATTTAAGAAATCCACGCCTCCGTATAAAAGCGAAGCTCTTCTACATCAGTCTCATTTGCGCCCATGCTCCGACCGAAGATAAAGATGAACAGGCCAAAGACATATTTTACGAGCACCTAGAAACAGCATATGATCGTTACCCTGGCCATGACATTAAAATTATGCTAGGAGATTTTAATGCAAAAATCGGAAGGGAAATATCCTTGTCTCCACCGTCGGAAACTTCAGCCTCCATGAAGAAACATCAGACAATGGTATGAGGTTTATTGACTTCGCGGCAGCAAAAGATATGGTAGTTAGCAGCATCAGATTCAGGCAACTGGATATACACAAGGCCACTTAGATTTCTCCCGATCGAACAACGAGAAATCAAATTGATCATGTTGTGATAGACGGCAGGCATTCATCCAGTGTTTTAGACGTCCGATCAATCCGGGGAGCAAATATCGATTCGGACCATTACATTGTGGCAGTTAAGGTACGCACCCATCTTAATGTAGCAGCAAAGGTACGATCTAATGAAACACGGAAATTTGACGTCGAAAGGCTGCATACACAACAGAACGCAGAAGTCTACTCCGCTCAACATACCCAACCGCTCGATGAAATCACCCCTTGTCCCGATAATAATATAGAAACACAATGGCAGAGAATTGCCCACTCCCTACAAATTGCAGCAAAAGCAACACTTGGGTACCAAAGACCACCATCAAGAAATCCGTGGTATGATCAGGAGTGTTGTAATGCTACTGATATGAAAAACGCAGCGTATAGGGCAATCTTGCGCATATCAGCAACACGTAATGCGATGGAGAAAAGAAAGGAGAGAGGAGAAACGTATTTCCAAAAAAAAAGAAAGAACAAGAAAAACGTGAGCGTGAGCAAACGGAGATGTACAGGAGTCAGAATGAAGTCCGAAAATTCTATCAACGGGTAAAACACTAAACCGAAGGCTTTGGTGCAGGCACATCCTCCTGTAGAGATAAAGAAGGAAACTTGGTGACAGATACAGACAGCGTGCTGAGGATCTGGAAGGAGCATTTTGAAAAACTTCTGGTATCAAATAGTAGCGGTGAAGTGGATACCCCAGAACCAATAATAGATGACGGTGGTAGAGTGTATACCACCTAGCCAACATGAAGTCAGAATAGCAATCAATCGGCTGAAGAATAATAAAGCTGCAGGTGCCGATGGGTTACAAGCGGAACTATTCAAGACTGGTGGTCAGATGTTGGTAAGGAGCATGCACCAGCTGATTAGTACAATTTGGCTAGAAGAGTGCATGTCCAATGATTGGAACCTCAGCATCATGTGTACCGTGCACAAAAAAGGAGACAAGGCGATATGTGCCAACTATAGAGGAATAAATCTGCTTCCCATCGCATATAAGGTGCTATCCAGCGTACTGTGTGAACGACTGAAGCCAATGGTCAATAACATTATTGGACCATACCAATGTGGCTTCAGACCTGGCAAATCCACCATTGACCATATTTTCACTCTGCGCCAAATCCTGGAAAAATATGACGAAAAACACATCGACACATTCTACCTATTCGTCGACTATATAAAGCCGCATTTCCGTTCAGAGGTGTATAAAGGCATGTCTGCGTTTGGCATTTCTGCAAAATTAATACGTCTATATAGGATAACGTTAACAGACACAAGATCAGCAGTTATAGTCGGAAAGGACCCCTCGGAGCCCTTTAATACCGAACGAGGATTCAGACAAGGTGACAGTTTGTCGTGTGACCTTTTTAACATCCTGCTGGAAAAGGTCATACGAGAGGCAAAGGTGAACAGAAATGACACTCTGTACACCAAACAACACATGTTTCTCGCCGATGACATCGACATAATGGGTCGAATACTGAGAGCGGTAAGAGCCACCTTTGAACAAATTGAGAAGGAGTATGTCAAAGTGGGTCTGGCAGTAAACGACGAGAAGACCAAGCTGATGGTATCAACGCGCAAGACTCCCAGTAGACTCGAACCAACTGTGGAACTTGAGAACTACAGCTTCGAGGTAGTCAAAGATTTTATATACCTTGGTACCGCCATAAACAAAACGAATGACATCAGTTTAAATAAATAAGTAGTGGATTTTTTAAATAATATTTTCGATGTCAATTTGGATGGTTTTTTAAACAATTTTTATTGAGGACTGTAACAGGAGTAGATGTATCAAATATTTTTTTAATTTTATTTATTTTATTTTTTTTTTTTGAGAGCTATATAAGGCGTAGATTTTTTAAATCTTTCTTATTCGAGGCCTTATAGAAGGCGTAGATTTTTTAAATAATTTTTTTTCGAGGCCTTAGAAGGCGTGGATTTTTTAAGTCATTTGTTTCGAGGCCATATATATGGCGTGGATTTTTTAAATCTTTTTTTCGAGGCCTTATATAAACGTGGATTTTTTAAATCCTTTTTTCAAGGCCTTATATAAGGCGTCACATATTGACTAGCTGAGTCAAATAGCCTGTCCATTATAATTTGTAAACACGATAGAGGCCACAGTTATGGACCAATCTTCACGAATTTTTGCATGAAGGATGGGTTCCGGCGAATGAAGACCTCTATTGTTTTTGTTAAAGATCGGTTAATATTTAGGGGATGAAATGGAACAAATATCCAATTTTTGTCCGTTTTTCTGGTCGCTCCAGAGGTCACAAATATGACCCAAACATAACAAATTTTTACATGGAGAAGGGGATCGGGCCAAAGAAAAATTACAAAATTTTTATTCTAGTGTGTACATTTACCCCTGAAGGATATATACCCGAAAAATTGATAGTATATCTTAGATGAGTGGTTAACCTTTAAATTGATACAAATTATATTGTCATATGTACTCGGATGTGGGAGTTACACTTAAATATTTACAGGTGCTTACGTTTTCCGATATTATTTAGTAACCCATTGCCACGCTGGAGGTTGGAAATATAGCGCTGATGCTTTAAAATGTTCCATGAGAATCCAGTTGTGGTCAAAGACAATACCTATAATTTTTGGTGATGGCCAGACAATTATAAG